AGGGTTTAGGGTTTAGGGTTTAGGGTTTAGGGTTTAGGGTTTAGGGTTTAGGGTTTGGCGCAGGTCGCTGTATTCGAGCGTGGACTGTTTCGCGCTGCGGGCGCCCACAGAAAAGGGTTCGCTGCTGCAGCGTTTGGATTTGCTGCTGCCAGCAGATGAAGATCCTTCTTATGCTGCTGCTGCTGCTGCTTTCAAGCAGCAGCTGTTTGCTGCTGCTGCTGCTAACCCGAAGCGCAAGCTCGCTGCGGGCCAGCCGATGCTCTCGCTGCACCAGCAGCAGCCGCTGCAGCAGCTGCAGCAGCAGCAGCAGCAGCAGCAGGTTTATATGTCGGGCAGGGACCTTGCAGAGCTCACGCGCTTTCTTGTTGCTGCAGCAAATGCAAATATGTTTGGAGACGTTCAGGTCTTTATGAACCACTTCTCCACCGTCCGAGTGAGGGTTTAGGGTTTAGGGTTTAGGGTCTAGGGTTTGGGGTTTGCTCTTGAGGTTTAAGGGCTTGTGCGCGTTTCGTTTTCCGTGTCTTTCGTTCCCTCGCTCTCAGCTCTTGCGGCGTTGAGGGTTTAGGGTTTAGGGTTTAGGGTTTAGGGTTTGGGGTTTGTGGCGCAGAGCGCCATGGCGAAGAACGACTTGCTGCTGCTATTCACGCGGGACTTGAGTCGGCTGCTGCAGCGGGAGCTGCCGCTGCTGCCAGATGAAGTTGCTGCTGCTGCTGCTGCTCTCCGCAGCAAAACTTTGCTGCTGTGGCAGCAGCAAGCTGGGGCTGAGGTGTCTGTACACCGCGCAGAACTCAACAAGCAGCAGGAGCAGCTTTTCAAAAAGATGGACGAAATCGTCGACAAGGCTCTCCAAACGTAAACCCTAAACCCTAAACCCTAGCTCGGTCTGCAGCAGCTGCCCGCCTTGGGAGCCGCCTGGCCTTTTTTGTGCCTGCGCTGTTCGCCCCTCAGGGTTTAGGGTTTGGGGTTTAGGGTTTAGGGTTTAGGATCTGCGCTTACCTCCCAGCGGCCGGGGCCTAGGGTTTAGGGTTTAGGGTTTAGGGTTTTGCTGCAGGGCGAACAAGCTGGTGGGCTCTTTCTGCCGAGCTGCTGCTGAGGCGCAGCTGTCTGTACAGCGCGAAGCAGCAGAGCAGCAGCTGCGGCAGCTGCCGGTGG